CGCCGTCCGGGCGGCGGGACGGGCAAGGGAGAGCAGCCGGGCACGGGGCTGGCGGCTCCCCTCCGACGACCACGGGGATCGCCCTCTGGGGCTCCTGCAGGCGGGACGGGATGCTGCCCCCACCGAGCGTGGACACCCGTTTGGTGCAGCAAAGGCTGCAGGTGCTGAGGGCGTTTCCCTGCTCACTGGGGGTGAGAAGTGAACAAGGGGCACTGGACAGTACTCCTTTGGATTTTATACTTACAGAACCACAGAAAATCAGATGGAAAGGGCTTTAGGAAGTGACTTAACTCTTCCCTTGCCCTAGGCAGGCTCAGCTTGACCTACTCCGTGCCAGCAGCCCTGCGGCTGGGTAGCAGCAGGGCCATGATTTCTTGGCAGCCTGGACTTCTTGCCCAGCCTCTTGTATCTTGGGCCATCCTTCGAGGATGACATTTTCAGGTTGTAGTATGAGGGATATGGGTATCTGTGGATGCCTTTTGGAGGCCATGGAAAGTAAGTATGAAAAGCAAGCCTAGAGTCAATGGACTTGCATGTGATAATTAGGGTTTGTGTGTCCGTGTGGGTAATGCAAGTTGAAGAAGGCTGGCAAGTCCTGTCAACTAAGCAGAGAAAAGGAGTCCCTGCAGAGATCTCTCTCTCTCTCTTTTTTTTTTTTAAATAAAGGCTGCACATATCGCCATGGCATTTTTATAGATTTAATAACTGGATTACCTAATTAAACCAGTTCTTATGTCTTCTGAAATCTAACCAGGTCAGCACACGTTGCCTGCCCGTGGTGTCCTTTGCTGAGCCACAGCACTTACATGCAAAAGACATGGAAATGAAAATCTTTTGGCTGAATTAGAATTTTTTTAGAGTCTGACTTTAACATGCCTGTTGCCTGCTCCCTGCATGGTGAAGGCATGAGGAGATTTGGATCCAGGAGGCATCTGGCTAGAGGAGCTGTGGCGACTTTTGCCCTGGGGACCTACACAGGTCACCCATCCTTGGACCGTGCAGGCACCGCACATTGCAGCAGGGCTGGGTGCTGCCACCGCGGTCATCACTACCGGTGGCTGAAAAACTGATGGTGCAATGTGAGTCTTGAGCTGTGTCAACCCAGTGTTTGTACTGACACCTTCTTTTGTCTTTACGCTTTCATTTGAGACTTGGGCTCCCTTTTAACTGAATTCCCCCAGTATCTCTCATCTTACCAATGCTGACTCCAGGCTGCAATGGGAACTTTCTTCTCTCACAAGTGACTGCCTTAAAAGGTTGGCCTGCCTAGGGCAGGAAAAGCTTAGCCCACCCCTAACATGCTGCCTCTCCTTCGGCAAAGCAGTGAATGCTGCTCTGTGCACTATTAGTTTGCCTGTGGTGTCTACATCTGTATTTCAAGGCCTAATTTTAGAAAAGTCAGTGGCAAGAGGTTTTTTTTTTTTTGGTTGTACTAGAGCTTCCTAAGGGATAGTTTGATCTGTATTCACCACCTCAGCTGCCCAGGGTTTCTTCAGGCTCTTGTGCATGTCCTGAGGCTGAGAAACTACTGCTGCCTCCCTCCAGCATTGGGCACAAGAGTTGGCTGAAAAGCAGCAGCCAGAGGAGAATGTGCTTTTGCAGTGAAAAACGGGACTAGCCTAAAGCTGGGGATTGACCGTATCCTGCGGAGTAATGTAAAGCTCCTTAAAGCTTATGGAACCAGGAATGTGGCATGCTGGTGCGAGGTGTAGCGAGCAAACAGTCAAGGGCAGAGATGGGAGTAAATGGCCTGTCCTCTCCTCTCCTGCCTGCTGCATACCCCGGAGGCCACCTCGGTGCTGGGCTTGGAGCAGCAGCGTGCCTGGCTGATGCTCCCTGGCATGGCAGCCACAGCTCCCCAGCCCAGAGACAGAAGAAACACCAGAAATTACACTTCCTTCTGCTTGCTCCAAAGGCAAGCAGCAGCTCAGTCCGGAGCCTGGGCTGCTCCTGAATCCTGTGACGAAACAGAGGGTAGCCCATAAGAGGACCGTGACATTCTTGCTCACTAGAGTTTGCATTTTCCAAGGGAAAGGGGTATTTCACGCTGTTTGCTGGAGGGTTCCTTGTGCTCTCTACAGTGGGAACTGGCTACTCCCCCATCCTGGCCCCTGCTGATGGTATTGCTGCTCTCTTGCCTTCTCCAGTGGAGCCGGAGTTCAAATATGTTGGGAACATGCACGGGAACGAGGTGCTGGGCCGTGAGCTGCTGCTGCAGCTCTCCGAGTTCCTGTGCGAGGAGTATCGCCGGGGCAACGAGCGGGTCACACGCCTCATCCACGACACACGCATCCACATCATGCCCTCCATGAACCCCGATGGCTATGAAGTGGCTGCCAAGCAGGTACCAGGCAAGCAATTGCCTCATCCAGCTGGGAAGGGGTGGAAAAGCCTTCAAAACACGGGCTCTTGTGGGTTCCCTTTCATCCACTGCTAGGGGAGGGGGCATCCCTCCTCTCCCTGCTGAATTCAGCCTTCTCAGCCAGTGTCTATCTGCTCCTCACCTCCCATGTCCTGCCCCGGGTGGACCTGGCAGGCTGTAGTTCAGCTTCCCACGTTCAAGCCCGGGATGCCAGGTTCCTCAGCCCCTGGCTGAAGCACCCTGGTGGCAGGCAAGACCCTGCCCCAGGCTGGGGAGGTGGCAGGGAAGAGGCAGCTGAATGCCACTCTCACAAGCAGATGGGGCAGGAGGGCTGCGTGGGGCAGAAACCCTTCGGCCCCCTCCACTCCAAAAGCAGCCCCCTCCTTCTTGTCGTTAGCCCTAGGGGGGATAGTTTGTTCAAGACTGTTTCGTCTGAGGCATATTGTTTATTTGGCATGTGCCTTGCTTTGTGACCCCGGAAAATGGAGATATTGTTATTGACTGTCCTCTGTCAGTACCAATACTCTTTATTCTCCTGCCAGCAATAACACGCATGTTGTGACTCAAAGCCACCGGAGAGCCGTTACAACGGCCGGTCTCTGCAGCTCTGACACCCAGCCTGCCTGCGCCCACACTGTACTCACCTGGGTGATACAACTTTGCCCTGCAGGGCCCAGACAGCATTGGGTACTTGACTGGGAGGAACAATGCCAATGGAGTGGACTTGAACCGCAACTTCCCTGACCTCAACACCTTCATGTACTACAATGGGGAAATCAGCGGGCCAAACCACCACATCCCTCTGCCAGACAACTGGAAAAGTCAGGTATCAGTCTGGGATGCTGGGGGCACTACAAGATCCTCCTATAGTGGCCCAGCACCTGAAGGATATATGCTCTCCTTTGCCTTGCACACAACTTGTCTCCTTCCCTGTGCCTCTTGCACGCAGAGAAACAACATGCTCCTGCCCTGTATCACAGCTCATACGTCTATCAAGTGCAAGGGCTGAAGCAGACAACTTGTCAGGAGGTCCGATGTGACTGATCATGCCACAGTCTGCCATGGGGCAGCAGCTCAGCCCAGGGGCAGTTGAGCCCATCTCCCTGTCCCTGGCTTCTTCGTTGGTTCTGCTCTCATGAGGCCTCTTCTCCTCGCAGGTGGAGCCGGAGACACTGGCTGTGATTCAGTGGATCAGCAACTACAATTTTGTGCTCTCGGCCAATCTGCACGGTGGAGCTGTGGTGGCAAATTACCCCTATGATAAGTCTCAGGACCAGCGGTTCCGGAGCCACCGGCGCACAGTTAACACACCTACCCCTGATGACAAGCTGTTCCAGAAGGTGAGTGAGGGCCCGCACTGGCAAGGGCTGTTCCCACAGCCCTGGCAAGTTGCAGATGTGAATTTTTCTAGATCATTGACTCTTTGCTGGAGCTAAGCCAAGAAAGATGTAGGCAATAGCTGTTATCACACATGGCATTTCTGACAGCCACAGACTTATGAGCCAAGATAGGCCAGTCCTGCCACGGGCAGGTCCTGTAACCCAGGCAGGCTAATCTTAACCCTCAGGAGTCCCTTCCTCTTCTATGCCATGCCTGGGTTCCCCATAATCCTGGTAGCAGCAGTGTCTTTAGTCTTGCCACCAGCCCGAATAGTCCAGAGCTGGAGCTTGCCCCCTACTTTATTAAAGCTTCATAGCATGTACCTCTGTGTACAAGCTTTTTTTAGAGGAGCAGCAGGACCTGGCTGGAAGTTTGGTGAGAGCAGGACAAGGGAGGTCAGTGCCCTGCAGGGAGTTGTGGATGGGGAGGAGTAAGGTACAGAATGAAAAGAGCACCAAGAACATACATAGAAATCATGGAAAATCTCAGTACACAGTGCTGATCCTGCTAGTACTAGCTGAGGCCTGTGGTTTTTCTCCATTGTTAAAATGTCCCAGAAAATGGCGTCGTCAGTCACTGCTGCCATTAGGAAATACAGGAATCCTGCAGAAGAATAAGCAAGTTTGTATTAGAACAGTTAATGAGAAAAATAAGTTTGAGCTGGAGTTCAGCTGTTTCTGGAAGCATAGGCAATGGAGGGGCTTGCCAGGACCTGCTGTGATCAGGGCTGCACTCAGACCCAGATGTAGAGAGGCTGCAGTCAAGGGCGTAGGCTAATGATACCCATATAGCCTCAGAAGTCAGAAATGTAGTGAAGTAACTGTTTTTTTTTTTATTACACCAGCATCTGAACTACAATACAAGGGTGTAGAGTTTGCATTAGGAAATGCAGACACTGGTCTCTCTTAAACTTGGTCTCACGCAGAGGACAGGCTTTGGATCCACTGTCCCAGTTGTGAACCTGCCTTCCTGTCTAAAAATAATCAGTAATCTTTGATAAGGGCAATAAACAAACAGGTGCCAGAAACAGAAGTTGCCCAAATCCTTTCCTAGTGCAAATTCCTCTGATATATGATATTTGCCTCAGGACTGACACTGGTTAATCTTCCTTGCACGGAGCAGTCTGGGTACTGGCTCCCCTGACTAACATGATTTGTTGCGTGGGTGCCTGCACAGAGGAGGCTGAGCACCCTGGAGTCAGCCCAGCACCCTCCATTCCCCCCGTCTCAGCAGGAGCAAGGCAGAAGCTGTCTGTGGTATCACCAAACCTCCAGTTTGCCTGATTTCTGCTCTCCCTCCTCCTCCTTCATCTGCCTACATTTCTTAGAGGTCCTGGCCACCTTGGGTTGGATTTCACAGCAGTAAAACGCGGGAGCTGGACTCCTGTCTGACTTCCCTCCCACACATCCCGGTTAAGACAGTCCATGAGCAGGAACGTTGCCTCCAGACCTAGCATGGTGGCCGGGCAGCAGTCAGGCAGCACAGCTGCTGGCTGCCTGCTGCTGGAGCTGTGACCTGCTGGCTGCTCTCTCTGCAGCTGGCCAAAACCTACTCATACGCCCATGGCTGGATGCACCGAGGCTGGAACTGCGGGGACTACTTTGCGGATGGCATCACGAATGGGGCCTCCTGGTACTCGCTCAGCAAAGGTAAAGGCTGGATGGGAGAGCACCGCCTGCAGAAAGGCAGTGAGGAGAGAGGAGAAAGCCAGGAAGGGGGTGTGTGGGAGTCTGGGAAGGGGTAGAGAGCTGGGGAGCTCCCTAACACGAGAGCTCAGGGACAGCGCTGGGGAGAGGGCAGGGAAGGGCTGTTGCAGTAGTGTGACCATTGCTAGACACCGTTCTGGTGTCTACACTTCAGAAAGGACATGGGAAACTGGAATTGGCTTGGGAAAGAGCAACAAAAATATCTGAGCTCTGAAGAGACCTGCCATGTGCTGACAGAATAAGGAAACATTAATCTGCTGGCATATCTGAGAATGCTGTGCGGTAACTCCATTAAGGCCCAAAACTGTGGATACAGGAAAGATATTTGTTACAGCTGCTGGCTTGTGAAAAATCCTGTAAATGAGGAAACTGAAAATCAACAATTAGGTTAAAAAAAAAGATCAGAGAGTAACTGGAAAGGGAAGCATAGCCCCTGAGATGTGAAACCTCCTTGAGCTTCTGAAGGCAGCAAAATGAAGGATCTGCCTGAAGGAGAGAGTGAGACAACCACAGTGGGATGGGACTGCACAGGGGGGGACAAGAGCTAGTCCTGCTGCTTGGAGGGAGGAAGACTGCACCTGCAGAAGAAGGCAGGAGAGCGAGGCTGTTCTGGTAGAAGATAGATATGGGCCAATATACCTGGGACACAGAAATGGGGAGGGAAAGGGGCCTTGCGTTCCCTGTGGGCCTGGCCATAAGCTCTTCTCTCTTTTCAGGCATGCAGGACTTCAATTACCTCTACACCAACTGCTTTGAAATCACACTGGAGCTGAGCTGCAATAAATTCCCCCCTGAGGAGGACCTGGAGCGGCAGTGGATGGCCAATCGGGAGGCCCTTGTTGCTTTCATTGAAGAGGTAAGGAGGCAATCCTGGGACCTTCACCCTTCCCTGTAGACAAGTGGGCCCTGGCCTTGATGGTAGGAGACCAGCAGGTGCTGGGATCACAGAGGTGGGAGGGAGGAGAGTCGCCGGGATCGCTGTGTGTACTGGAAGGGGAGTTGGCAGCTGGTTACGGGGCTTGCTGAGTGCACTGGAAGGGGTGTTGGCAGGCTTCAGAGAGGCTGTTGTGCCATGGACTGGCTCTGCTGGGGAGCCAAAGTTTTGGGGAAGGGCAGAGGTGTCCCCAGAGCTCTGCTCTCCTCCAGTGCCCAGCAATACCCTCTCGAGCAAAAGGGGCGTAACGCAAGAATCTCTCTCGCTCTCCCTGCAGATTCACCAGGGCATCAAAGGGATGGTGTCGGACGAGAACAACAACGGCATTGCAGGAGCGGTGATTTCTGTCCAGGGGATCAGCCATGATGTCACCTCTGGTGGGTTGTTGATCCCCTTATATGCCATCCGGATACAGCTTCTCTGAGGTTATCGGGGATATGTGTGAAAGGGTCAGCAGGTGAGGCCCTAATATGTGTGGCCTGCACATTTTGCATCTTAAAAGCAGTGGCTGTGAGAAATTAGCAGTGCACAGAGAGCACTTTACTAATACTGCTGCTTGTGAGTATGTTGGACCAGGCAGAAGGAGGGTTCATTGCAGCTGGACTGGGGTCTCAGGGGATGCAACTGTCATTTGAGAAGGGTGAAAAACAGAAATGGATTTTCCGGTTTCAATCCTGTTCTCTAAACAGTCTATTGTCAAGTGCAAGCATACTGTGTGGCCACAGGTCATGTCAGATGCCTGTTTGAACAGAGAGGGTAAAGCTGTAGCTGAGAGGGTAGGAACAATCCTCTGATGTATAAGAAATGGTACAGTCCATAGGAGCCAAGATAGAGTGGGGGTGGTGGTGCAGCATGCACCTGTGCTGCGTGCTATGTGGACAAAATAGAAAAATGGAGAGGGCCTAGGAAAGAAAGAGCTGAGATTTGGAAAGCTTGGAAAGCAACCCTTATTCTGAGGGACTTCAGAAAGGCAGCACCTATTTTATCTGGGAGAGGAAAATACACTTGTATATTACCAAAGAGAAGGCTGAAGGAACAATTTACTCAAGCATAGAAGTATCTACACAGAGCTGAAATATATGATAGCAAAGGATGCAACAGCAGAACAAGAAGAAAGTCCAAGCCAGACAAATTTAGTCTAGCAAGGAATGGCCACTACAGTTTGTCCAAGTTGTAGCGGTTTCTCTTTTGCTGGCAGATTCTTAACTTCCTTTTCATAAACACCTTTCTCCCGTTTGACCAGACAGTATGGACTGACCGCACAAAATAGCCAGTATTTCAGCTCTCCAGAGGTCAGACAATCAAATCATCAAAATTCCTTCTGGCTGTAGGTCTGTGACTCAGTGGCACTTTGATATTTGGCAGTTACTATGCCAACCTGCAGAGGCATAAGGGGAGTGCGCAAGGTATCACAAAATCACAGACATGCTAGCTGGAAGGGCCCTCCAGGGTGTCCAGTCTGACCTCCCACTTGTAGTGGGATTATCCCTTGCACTAGATGTGATCAGCTCTCTCCAGTCAAGTCTCGTTGACCTCAAAGGACAGGAGAATGGGGCAGGGGAGCAGCTGAGCTATTTTTTGACAGTTCCAATGGGTATCATCTGAGCTGACGAGAGATTAAAACCTTGCTGAAAACCCAAATATGACAAAATTCTAAGTGACAGGAATTAAAGATTGTATTATACATAAGGAGTCATGGAGCTGTGCATGCTTAGGTCTGCTCCTTCCTGACTGGCAAGCGCTCAGATTTGCAACTTTGGTGTTCCTAAGGACGGACACAGCTAACATGGCTGTACCATCCCATTTCATTTTGCATTTACTTGCAGACTTCTACTGTGCAGCACTAATGAGCTCTCACTTCCAGGCCACCAATGTGCATGCAGCTTAGCAGTAGCCAGCAAATTCGAAAGAGAAGCCAAAAATTGCCTGGGTTTTGGAGACTAAGCATCCTAGAGGAAGTACCCTCAGCACGAGCCAGTGGGATGTCTTTTATGCTGCTCCCTGTGCATCCTGACTGCTTTTTCTTCCCGTCTTATGTTTTAGGTGACATGGGAGACTATTTCCGGCTGCTGCTGCCCGGCACTTACACTGTCACGGCCTCTGCAGAGGGGTATCAGCCCCAAACAGTGACGACAACAGTGGGCCCAGCTGCACCTTCATTGGTGAGTCAAGCTGAGCAGTCGCAAGTCACAAGTCAAAACGTCTTCACCCTGGAGAGAAAGAAACACAGCAGGGGATGTCCAGTGAGCAGTACAGAAAGGGGAATGGGATGTAAAGCATAGCCAGCGGCTACAGGCTGTCTGCCTTGGTAACGTAGAGCTCCCTGCAGTTCACAGAGAGGGAGGCAAAGGCAATGCCAGGTGCCCCTTGGTTCTTTGCAGAGGGGCCTCAGCTGGACTGGGCTGTTGTGCTGGCTCTTGGCTGTGGGAACAGCCACGGGCACCTGTTCCTTAGCTCGGCCTCCATGCTCCCCTCTCTTTCCAGGGTATCATAGTTTGGAGGCAGCATCTGTCCCCTCAGACTCCCCTAGCCCCATCGCTCCATGGGTTTCAGTGGTCTGCCATCATCTGCATCCTGCCCTGGGACCAAACATGTTAGCAGACTCAAAGCAGGAGGCTGAGGTCTGCTCTTCTCCTTGCCAAGGGCTCCCAAGACAGGTGCTACCGAAGAAAAGCCAAGCACCTTTGGGAGACGAGGTGGAACCAGGTGCTCTTGAGAGCAGTATGGCTCCTGCAATGCCTTTCCTAGGGCAGGTTGGACAGCTAGAAATTGGGTTATAAAAAACAGTGGGTGGATCCCTGCCTTGTGAATGCAGTGGGACCTCAGGCGTGGAGGACTGGCAAGAACCCCCTGATTGTGACATCCTGACACACATCATATGCTTCACTTCATATACTGCTCAAGGCTCTGCCTTAAATACATTGCGGCGGCTCTCCCACCTTTCTTCTCTTCATCCCACCCCACCCAGCCTCTGAAGTTCTTCCAGAGCTGCCCTCTTCTTAGGGTTAGAAACCTTCTAATTTTCAGCCTAAATTTATTCATGGTCAGTTTATCCCTATTTGTTCCTATGCCAACATTGTGCTTTAAATAGCTCCTCTTCTTCCTTGGTATTTATTCCCTGGTGTATTTATAGAGAGCTGTCATGCCCACTCCTAGCCTTTGTTTTGCTAGGTTAAGCACCCAGATCTTTGGCTTTCCTTTGTAAAATCAATTTTGCTTTTACTACATTACTGTAGAAGACTGTTTTGTTCTCTGATGGTCTGATTTGCAGATCTCCTCTCACAGCAGCCTACCTGTCTCCATTTCCCTCTATCTCTAGAGCACATTGTACCCTTCTTTCACTCTGTTCCTCCTGCAGGGAACCTATGCTGCCCTATTCCAGTTTCACCTTTCTGTGTCCTCATTCCCCATCTATGTGATGCTGTGCCCTGCATGTTCACTAGTCCCCTTCTCTCTCCCATAACTGCTTGCACTGCTGTAGTCCACTTCTTCTCCTACAGCCTCTTGCAGTCTTGCAGGCACTGCTCTACCCCATCAGTCCAGCTCCCTGCCTGGCCTCCATCCCATTCCCACCAGGAAGGGGTTTGCATGTCTTGTTCCACCCCTACCCCACAGCCATTTGTTGGATCTTTGTTTGGGTGGGTGGTTGTTTTTTCCCTGGAATTTTTTGCCTAGATCTACTAGAAGCAGAGAGACTCATTAAGCAGGATTCAGCTAACAAGGTGCAACTGAAAAGGTCTGTCTGTCCTAAATTACTGTGTGTATGAAATATTCAGAGATGCAAAGCAATGCTATTTCTCTACTCTCTGATGAGAAAATATGAAGAAAGCATAGCTCAGTCATTTGCCTTTCACAGCTCATCTTCCAAACTGTCTTAGGGTATTCCATTGCCCTAGGAGCAACTCTCTGCATAAGAAATATAGCTGTTGGCTGGTACAAGATTTTCCATGGGCAAATTGTTTCCAGCTGATTTAAGCACTGAGTTCCCATTGTATCATAACACTGGTTGAGGCCCCTTATTGGCAATGCTTGTCTTGGCCTAAGAGCTAGCTTACAAGACTAGCTGCAGGGGCAGGGTCCTGCAGAGCCCTGAGCCAGCAGGAGACGCACACTGTGTTACATGGTTATTTTTGTTCTTTCTCCAGGTGCATTTCCAGCTCAAACAAGACGTGGTGAGGAAGCCCCCAGAGCGTAAAACCTCAGGCACACGCACGAACAATAAACCCCTTCAGAAGAAGGTAGTGCCAAGAGCCACCCACCGGGGGACCCAAAGATGAAGACAGCTCCCTTGGCTGAGAGCTGAGGGAAGCTGTTTGTATGAGGCCTGGCTGATGACTCCAGCCAGTGAACTTTCCAACAGTCCAGCATGAAACTAGCCCAAATTATTAGCCAATTAAATGAGGAAGTATTTAATCCCTGAGAAAACAGTGAAGTCATTCACAATAGAATGTGCCTAGCCTGCAGTTCCCAGGGCACAGTGTCCGTAGCTGCTGAGCTGCTCTCCTGCACTCAGCCCAGCTAGGTCAGCTCTGCTCCTTTACTCTTGGACTCAACTCAGTTGCTACAGGCCACATAAGGTGTTCAAATACTGGTACATAGCAGAGAGAATGGATCCTGGCCCTGGTCTTTGCCAGCTGGACTCATAAGCCGGGCACACGAATCCTGGCACTAGTACTTTGGGTGTGAGTCCCATGCTTCTCCCTCAGGTAAGAATGGGAGCTACCTGTAGACCCTGAAAATACAGGAAGGCAAGTTGGTAGGTCACTTTTAAAGCAGTTTTGATGTGACAGCTCTGAAAACAGACTGTGTTCTATGCATAGCACAGCTATCACCGGTTAGCAACTCCACAGGTAAGAATGCAGCACTGGGATATGGTGGTCCAAGGTCATCTCCCGACTGGTGATGCCACATTTATTTCGCTGTACAGATGGGACTTTCTGGGAGCTGATTTGGATTATTTGTAGTCAAACTGTCTGAACCGATACACATCCACAAAAGCAACGGATTATCCTATTTGCTTATGTCTTCAGATCCAAACCAGATGGCTTTCTGAAAGGTTTGCTCCAGCCAGCACAAGCAATTAGTCTCAGCACAGGCGATACTGGGTGAGGTCTAACAACCAGTGATAAATAGGCGTGCAAAACATGTGATCTGAGGGTTTTTTGAGACAAAGTCTCTGAACCTAGGGTTCTGTCCGTGTGAAACAGGGACATATGGATGCATGACTGTGATGCTAGCAATGTGCCGTGTCGGCACAGAGCAAGCCATGTGAGCGGTTATTGGGTTAGAGAAGACATGCTCCATGGTTCAATGAGGTGAGGTACTGCAGGCTGGGCCTTAAAATACTGCTTACAGAGTCTGAGCAGGTTTGGAGTTAAAGCAAGGGTGGTGAAAACAATGCTGGATATTTCTATCGTAAAAATATCTAAGCAGGCAAAGCCCTTCTGGCATTCTTTATAGAAATAAATAACTGCAGGGGGAAAAAGAGCCCCTCCCATGTGCCCCAACAATTTATTTCCCTTGGCTCCTTGTCCCTCTCCCCCATACAGCCCTCTGATGTACTGGCTCTCTCCATGTCTCCATCCTGTCCAAAAAGTGTCCCCCAACCATTCTGTGTTCCTCCTCTTTTGCAGACTTCTCGTCATCTCTTGTGAGCAATCTCTGCCATCATTCCATAGGCAATATTCTGCACTTCATCCCTCACCGACAAATCCTCCGTTGTCTCTGATATGTGATGATAGTGGCATTTTCTGCCCTAGCAGCACACACGTACCCTTGTACCTCTGTCTGCTAATAGAAGCTGTTTCTCTGCCGTGCCTGTTCTTGGGAAGGCAAAACGGCCTGGCCCTCAGACTGTCCCCGCAGGCTATTGCAAAGAAGCGCCACAGATATGGCAGAGCGCACCACCATGGCTTTCAGTGACTTCAGGCCGTACAAGCCAGTGTGGGCCAGGGACGCTGGCCAGTTCCATGCTCACAACCAAAGCTGAATTTGGATTCTCTTCATTTTTCTCTTTCAACATTTGGAAGGGAAAAAGGATAGCAAGGCTGAAACATTTCTTTGTGGTTTAAAACCTCTTCCCTGGGCCAAGCCCAGCTGCTTCACTCCACGGTCCTCCCTGTTTGAAGCCAAGTGTAGCTACATATTCACACAGATGACTTTTCAGAGGACCTTCAGGCAGGGTGAGGAAGGCTGGCCTGCTCTGGCTGCCCAACAGCCTGGCCCCATGCTGCATGCAGAAGGGTCCACGTGTTGCCAAGCATCCAACCCATGTGCAGGAAGGTACTCCTGCTCCTTAGTCACAGCACTGGCTCAGCTGAGCTAACCGCTCGCTTCCAAGGATGTGCATGAAGCTGACATCGAGGAAAGGGCTCCCAGGGAGAAGGTCAGAGCCCACAGGTGGGATCCTGCTCTGGTTACCATGTTGGCTAATTCAGTTGGGAGCTCCCTGGACAGGATGATGCCTCTGCCTGCACAGGGCTGCCCATGCCATCGGATGACTGCCACAGGTCACCTTACTGAGCCTGCTGGCTGCAGGGTGCGCTCATGTTGCCCTCTTGTGGCCCTGAAAAATGTAGTAACAGCACAATTCCCCTTGCTTTCCAAGGCGGAGTCAAAGGACTGGGATTTCTTCTCTGTCTGGAAGAGGGTAGCCCATCCAGGAGGCCAAAGCACTCACCTTTGCCGGCTGTTGGGGGGTCAGCAGTGCGGGAGCAAAGTTGACAGTCTCAGTGGTGAGCTTTCTCCCTTATAAAGCAGTTCCTACAGGATGCAACTTTCTGGAGGAATCTCAGTCTCTCTATCTGCCCACCCCACCCCCCGGGCCGGGATTTGTCCACTTTCATGCAGGGTTTATTCTCCTCCCAACTCTGAATATTTTTGTGTTGAGCAGTTTGGTAAAGCTCCACTTGGCCATGGTTGAGCTCTCCACGTGAAAACATGGTTACAAAATGTTTCCAAGGCACCTCTCTCTCGAGTCCGCCTCTCAAAGGCTTGCCATGAACTTAGCCCCAAGTGTTGCAAGAAGCGTGGGCTAAAACAGCGCTAAACCTTTGGCCGTAACATCTGCAGTGCAATGATTTCACATTTATTTGAATGTGAATGGTTTACAGCAGAAAATACAAAAGGCAAAAGCAGTTGATAGGTTTGTGTCAGAAGAAACAGTAACCAGTCAATCCTTCCTCATCCTTTCTGGGGCACTCATGATTTTGTAGACCTCTCTCTCCCCCTCCTTGTCCTTTTTCCAGTCTGAAGAGTCCCAGCCTGCAGTTGTTTACTGTACAGGGTCTGTTCTGCAAGTCTGAGCATCCAGCCCTTTTTCATGTCTCATTTATCCTTTTTGAGATGAGAGGACCAGAACTGCATGCAGACACTGGGGAGATGATATCAAACAATGTGAAGCCTGGCGCAGAAGAATGAACCAAACTTTTATAAGCAAACTGTGAGGATCTTGGGATGAGCAGGAACCCCAGTGAGGAAAGGGACTTATTTCTCTGTGCATGCTGGCTTCTGCACCTGGCGTAAAGGAGGCAGAAAGTGGGAAAATACTGACAGCTGAACTCAAAAGAAGAGTGAGGTAGGTTTTGTGGGAGGTGCCAGGAGAGGCGGGCTGGTAATAGCAGTGACCGGAAAGGTTGCAGTAGGGACCAGGAGGAGGAACTCTCTAGCAATACTTCTGTTAGAAAAGACAGAGCTAGGAATGGATGATTAAATGAAAAACAGTCAGCAAACTGTTTAGTGTAGAAGTACAGGGAGGCAAATCTTACAGCAGAAGATATAAAAGGCTTTTGTAAGTGGGTAGCTTTTCTTGGAACACCGGAAAGTTGGACTCAAAGCCAAGGAAAGGGTTGGCTAGAAGTGAAAAGGGCAATCAAAAGCTCAGAGCAACCATGTAAGTTATAGCAAATGTAAGTGTGGAAGAAGAGTGACATAGGCCTGCACAACTGGATACTGTAAATCCAGTGCAGGAGTTAGCAGAGTCTTGCAGGACACGCTAGTGGGGTCTCAGAGCTGTGACTGATCCACAGGCCTCAGTGTCTGTTTGAGGACCTAGTTCCCAGAAAAAGCCTCACAGTTTTCCTTGGATGATGCTACTTTTGTATTGGCGTGTATGAGTTCAGACCAATTGCATTGCTTCCTGCTAAGGGGCTATGCGCTCTTACCGAGACGACTGTAGTCACCACCCATCCTTTGCCCCCTGACTGCATTTCTGTGCTGTTGTCATTGCAGTGCTACAGCCCCATGGACATGGACATCTGCATGACCATTTTATGCTGCCCAGGAGAAGGCAGCGGAGCTGCACCAAGCTCGTCCTTAACTGTGTGCAGTCCAGGTCCCATTTGTGGCTCTCGCTGGCAGCATGCCGTAAGCACAGAGAGCTTCCAACGAGGCTACGCACAGCACCCAGGTCTTTCTGCTCGTGAAGCGCTAAGTAGGAGCCTTTCATCTGGTAGAAGCACACTGTTGGGTAAACACTATGCTTCCCTGGGCAGTGCTGGACTTCCCTGGGGCAGAAGATGATGTTACTCATCTTTGCCCAGGCTAAGGTCCTCTGTACCTGCTGCATAGTAAATAGGATGCCGTAGCTCCATTCATTAGGTAGTCTCTCCGCTGGGAAGAACAGCAGATTTTTGGGCCGGGAGGACAACACGTAAAGCCCTCTGTCAGGAGCTCATGTCCACCCTTCAGCTTCAGCAAACCGTATTTCAAGCAAGCATACCTATAGGGGAGAGAGTATCCAGCTCCTTGTGCAGCCTCGGGCCCTCTGCCAAGAGCAAAGCAACCGTGCCAGCCATGGTGGGTCCCAGCATCAGAAGAGGAGAAGGGGGTTGCAGCTCCTGTCCTAACACATACAAACACTACTTTTACAGTGCGACTTGTTGTGCACACCCCACTCTTCGCTGGCAGCCAGCCAAGTTGTGATCTCGCCGGTTGCTATGGAGAAGTGTAGCTAAATGCACAGACAAGCGCCAAGCGGTGACGACTGCACTGAGGGCTGAGAGACGTGGGGCTTTACAGCGTGCTGCTGAGGGATGGTATCCCATGAGGCACGAAGGCTTTTTTTGGCCTGTCAGGAAAACCAGGGAGGAACCAACTGTACTTGGTGCATCCAGCCCCTACGTGACATGTGCAAACCACTCTTCCATGTAACGGCTTTCTGCCAGGGAGCTGTTTGTTTTTCTTCATGTCGCTGCTCTGGAGTGATCTTACAGTGCGGCTAAGCAGCAGGAGCCAGGCCCTAGCAGCCAAAAACAGAGATTGCACCGGATGGGCAGTGTAGACCCACTCCTCCCATGTCTGGGTAGGAAACTGGGGGCAGGAAACAGAGCCCCGGCGCTGGTCGTGTCTGCAGGACGGCCACACTTTGTAGGGAAGGAGGTTGGGGAGGCCGCTGCAGAAGCTTCCTTCACGCTGCGCTGGGCTCCGGGGCGGTCTTTCGGCTCGGCTGGGAGGACTGCGCGCCTCTGCCAGCACGTAGAGGGGGGCGTGAGGCAGGTGGGCGCTGGTGCTTGCCCGTGCCGGGCTTCGG